GGTCCTCTTTCTTATTCTTATGGATCTTTGTCGTCGGACTGCTGGTTTGGTGCATCCATTGCCAGTTTCTCAGGTTGGAAGCAGCAACATTCAGGTCCGCCTTCATTACATTGATGGGAACTACACTGTTTTGCCAGAAGTAGTTGAAGCTTCCCTCGGACCTCACATGCAGGTAATTCTACTGTCATTAGTTCTATTTGTTGAGGTACATGTGCAATGCATGTAAGAGTGAACATGTCTTGCATTTTGTTTTTTTTACATAACTCAACATTTATAGCTGTAATGATTCCTGTTGTTCTGGCTGCTAGATATGTATTTGGAGCTTCCTTCCTAACATTCTATACCCGTTCATCAGTTTATCACAAATTGTTGCAATAATATTCCTCCTTACGGTTCTAGTCCCATTCTCTTTCTATACCACTTGAAGTCCTTCAAAAGATACTATTATTGTTCTGCTCCAGTCCTCTATGCCATAGTTGAATATTACTTTTGACAGTGCAAGCATATGTATATATATATATGTTTAGCATCAATAATATGTTAAATCACTTACATGTGTTGAATTATAAGGAAATAAAAGTGTGCTCGCTCTAACTGTTTAAGTTTGAGATAAGGTGGCCACACACTCAATATGGTACGAAAGCAGGTGGAAGTTGTGAGTTTGAGTCTCACTGTCACCCATTATCAAAAAGAATTTTCACGTGCTTGGCTCATGAAAAAGAATCAGGCCCACACGTGAGGAGGCCTGTTGAAGACATAATTTTATCAAAAGAAAATGTGTTCTATTTAAGCTTTTGGATGAGATGGTCACACACTTTAACAGTATGCATGTGTTTCTAAAGGATGGCTGGTAGAACTGCATGAATGAGTTGTGGAAAAAACAAAAACTAGTCCTGTATCTGGAGAAACGTTGATGACAAAGATATGAGAAAATTATTATGGATGATTGACTAAGGGACATGCTAACTTTTTAATCATGGTAAATGTTAATAAACGGCACCTTAGATTTCAATGTGAAAGGAAATATCAATCAATTACAATTCAATCCTAAATCTCATTTTAATGTTTAAATAATTTGCCTTTTAAAGCAAATTAGCAATTTTTTAAAAATCTGCTCAACTAAGTCCACGGATTTTGCAAAATTTTAAGGTTTTTTTAAGAAAACTTTTCTCCCTTTTATCAATAACATGTGTGGTTAGTGCAACTAGAGAGAGGTCTACATTGATTTGACCAAATCCTCTTTATTCATTTCTAACTCTTGTCTAATCTTGTATAACCATATATCCATTTTCACATCCGGATTTTTACAACATTCATCTTCTTTTTAGGGATAAGGTTAGGTAATACTACTCAAATGAGTATCAAGAAGGTACTGTGAACAGTATAATAAGTTGGACTTGGTCAGACCTACAAAGCTAGGGATTCAAACAAGTCCATTGTATCTATCGCACCAGTTACAGAGTTCTACTACTCATTTTGTAAATATCTTGGGCAACATACACCCCTATGTAACATTGTTAGTGAATCATTCTGTAGAACTTGTGTTAGGTATCTTTCTATAGCATAGCACTTCTGTAGAGCTCCTCTATTCCAGTCATCCTATTTTAATTATGTCTTATACAAGAAAATAAGATGTGAAAGAAAATAACAGGAAACTTTTGTTTTTTTAATATTTGTCGGATGGGCTGGGATCAGCCGTTTATATTTGTCGACTCCAATTGGGCCACTGCGGTACATCAAACCTCCTCTATTGGGAAAAAAACACCAAACATAAACAAAACGACTTATGTAGGCTTGGGTAGGAATCCCCAGAATTCTTAGACTTCTACAGTTCTTCTCATCTCATTCCCTTTTCTTGCAGAATATGCCTCGCCCTAGAGGTGCAGATGCTGCTGGGCTGCTATTGCGTGAATTAGAGCTCCATCCACCTGCTGAGGAATGGCACAGGAGAAATATGTTTGGTGGACCTTGGTCTGATTCAGAAGATATGGGGGGCGTGGACGATAATTCTAAGCTTAGCCCATCAAGGGACTTGACTGAGTGCAGTTCATCAGAAAACTGTGACGTATCTTATGGAGCTCATGGTTTGTGGCCAAGGAAACGTAGGATGTCAGAACGAGACGCTGCT